CGGCAGTTTTCAGAAAAGAGCAGAGTATTGCCAAATTACAAGCAACTAAGAACCAATCAGATTTTAGTATTTTAATGAGGTGCATAATAAAGTGAAATATTGGACAAAGGGCCGCAGAAATGACGTTATTACCATTATTACCACCGTTAATGCCCAGGGCTGAAATAGCAAAGGACCTTATACACCCTCCATTGGGATCTCCCCATGGGAAAAAAATAATTCATCTGATTTTTCAAAATGAGTATTCTGCTTCAATTATTACATTTATATGCACACTAGTATCTTGTTGACCTATATTCAGCACTGTATTGATGTATAGGCCACTTATTAGGGTCATAATTCAATCATGAAGTGTAGAGGCATAGATTCCAAACCAGGAAGTATTTTTGTGTCTGTCAAAATCCATTTACATCCTACGCATCCCTGCATCTTATCCAAATATGTTACTACATAATGAAATATAATAGTATAATCTTTGGTTTTACAAACTTGTATGATATTTGATAAGTGTAAAAGTTGTTTTTGGAGCATTTTTCTATAGCCATTTTGTAGGGAAAAAAATGATGAAAAAATGTACAATCTTTTAATTTTAAGTATGACCTGGATCGCAATTGCAAACTTCATATTTGCACATTTGATGAGATAAACCATTTGTGTCGTATTGTGAAATTATTAAGTTTGCAATCGATTCAGGTCATAGTGTATTTTTGGTATTTCTGTGATAATCAATGGAAACCAATGGTCTCTATTGGGATCTGCTGATATCCTCATGTTAAGTCAATGGTGCACAGCCCCATATAAGTCAATACAACCTTACTGAACGAAATGATCCCTATGCGAATGATTCATTTTGACCATAGGGATATTTGCCAATAATTGCACCTTGTCCTTTGAAATAGAAAATCTTACGCCCTGAACAATATCACTTTTCCACATAGCCGGGCGAATAATATCATTATTTCTCGACTAAAGTCATTAACGCCCGACACAATATTGCTCACGTCAATATAGCAATTTAAATGCCTTCTCAACTAGTACTAAAACCCCTAGAACAGGCCTTGCAAGGTGGTAATAATACGATTTCATCTATTATAGCTTACAAAACTCAAATCCGGTTGAAAAACATTTCAATTTTGGATCACAAGCGATATGAAATGATTCGGTTTTACATATATGAACGAGGTTCGCGTAACTGTCTATCAATTTTTGGCGTATCCGCAAATTCAAAATACATTATTATGGCTTGAGTAGAACGGGTGCACCCCAGTTGTCCGAAACCCAGTTGTCCGAAACCCAGTTCTCCGAAACCCATTTTTCCGAAACCCAGTTCTCCGAAACCCAGTTGTCCGAAAAATTTAGTCATAATTTACCAGATAAAGGGGGACGCACCTCAAGCCAGTTTCATGTCATGTATTTGGCAAAATTAATGGCATGGACGCATTCTGATGTATAGATCTCTCTCTCACTTTGAATTGCATCCATTACACGGCGTTACCAGAATGACAGGAACATTGTGATTCTAAAAAAGGTCATCAAAACACAATATATATTACGGAACAGTTGATCTTATCTTATTCAATACATTTTATATAGGCAAAATAAAATGAAACATTTTGAAACCGATAAAATAAGTTAACGCATAAAACTTTAAGAATAAACAGTACACATATTACGTTGTCAAAATGTTTCGTCGCATTTAATTTCTTAGTCTCTGTCTCTTATCAAATCGTAAAATGTAAAAGAACAAAACATTCTAAACTTAATCACTTGGGATTAACTGGAAACGAAGACAGGCTGTCCTCGTATCAAATTGGATGTTCTCCCATTCGCAAGAAGTTTCATTTTCGCCATGTACTCACTTCATCTTTTTGAATTTAATCTCTATTTCTCGAACAGAGTACCTAAATGAAGAATAATTTTTGGTTTCTAAAGATGTACACGACGTCAACTTTACTAAATAAATGCCCACTGGCTTGGGAAAACTATTTCCCTTTTATGAACGCCCATCACGCATTGGAAAAATGTTGTTCCCTCTCAAAAAGCCCCATGGGGCATAAAGAAAATTGGTTTAAAAATTGTAGACCCCTATGTATGTTAATATGTAAACGCCACTTTGCAATGAGAATAGCATAATTTAACTTTGTTTATTTGAAGATCTGTATCACCTGTATTTTCATCTTTCGACAGTTTTTATTAGGCTAAATACTAGCCCATGGAGGAATCGTTCAGTTGATATTTACTCTCAAATACACCCTTTACCAATGAAAGAGTGCTCGTTCATAGAGCTAGATGGATTGGAGTGAAATATGTCAAGTGGAACATTTCAGAGTGCCAAGACTAACTCATTAATGTTAAATGGACCTCTATAAGTGGGATACCTCCCATCCCACTTCATCCATTAACGATTAAGGCATTACCATTTACATTGTTAGAGCCTGCCATTTGTTACAAACACCGGGTAATGACCCCTTAAATATAGGGTCTGAAGCTCAAATCTAGGGTCAAACGGATGGCAGAATATATAACTGTTAAGCAATCTTTGCCATTTCAATATATAGTTAAAATATTTAGTGAGGCAAGCAGATGTACGTATATATGTTAATACAAATGTAAGTTTAAGGTTTTATGACTGTAAATTGAAGCATTATAGATTTTTGGATAAACATGCAAGTCCTAGAGACATATATTCAATCTTGCTGGAACTTATAGCAACTAAACATATTTGGAATCATTTTGAATTAATCTTTGTGAAATTCAAAATAGTCAAATTGTGAATAAGAATTTTAGCGATTTTTGCGATGGCGATTGCGATGTCGCAATCGCATAGGATGCGACACATTGTGAATAAGGCCTCTGATTCGCGAAGTTGCGACAAGATTCGTTACTAAGACATTTAATTTTTTAATTTTCGGAGAACTGGGTTTCGGAGAACTGGGTTTCGGACAACTGGGTTTCGGACAACTGGGTTTCGGACAACTGGGTTTCGGACAACTGGGTTTCGGACAACTGGGTTTCGGACAACTGGGTTTCGGACAACTGGGTTTCGGACAACTGGGTTTCGGACAACTGGGTTGACCCCGAGTAGAACATATTAAGTGGTTTACAATGCTTAATTGGCTTTGTATGATCGTATGTAGGTTACATTTATATACACCAAGGTTGTTGCGCAATGTAGAGCATGTCCTAACGAAGAAAAGAAACAAATTACTAAATTGTATGAAGTTTTGAATTTCAAACTCGACAGTTTTTCGCTTATTTCATGTTATCCATGGGCGTCGATTTGCAAAGACTACGTTCAAAATAAACATTACTGAATGCATCACCGAATGCGCCGCTTACATAAATCTTTCATGCTTTTATTGATACGCAGTAGTAGAACATAATGCACCTACCTTAGCTTTCTGTTTCATCGTGGCCATTTTATTGGATAAATCAGTGATCGTATACGACTAACCTCGTTTTCAGAGGTGGCGTATCTGTCATGCTATAACACCGTGAATATGTAGACGAATACATGCACATGTAAATTATAAAATCAAGGAACAAAGATTCAATTTTCACAAATGTTCGGTAATTTATCGTATTGAAACTTCTGGAACTTACTAGGAAATCATTCATTTTCACGATCCATAATTTACCTCTTGGATTAGTGCTAAATGCTCTATAGTTGAGGCAACAAAGGTGATAGGGTGTCATTGAAATGTGTGTTCTAACCTCTAGAGGGTAAGTAAGACTCCTAATCTTCAGGTAAATCTTATTTTTCAAGTTCTACCGACGAAGTCAGGCCATGAAATCTACTCTAAATTGGAAAATTTCAAAAAAAAGTGATACTTTCTTAAAAAAAGCAAGGAAATTAACACATGCCTTCATACTTTATTTTGTACCAGAAAATAACATGTGCAGGTATAGCAATTTTTACCAAAATGTTACTTTCCAGCTGTACCTTAACAATCTCAAGTACGATAGTCAAGTTTACAAACTATAATGACTTGTCATATCATGAGATTTTTTAGAATCATCCACCATTTTAAAATTTAGAGGATTAATCAGAAGAAAATGTAATTGGACATTATTCTACTCAGCTTTCTGACGAAAGGAAGGATGTGTAGATAAGTCATAGACAAAATTTATCATATACTGTATGGGTGAAAAACTTAAGAATACGGCCAAATAAGAAAATAAATGGATTTTTCAACCATCAGACAGCATCTGAAAAATATTATAGGCTTTACCTTATTCTTCCGCCACATTTGGCTAGAGACTCAAGTAAGCTAAGCTAAATCTTTCACTACGTCTATTACCATAGGTAAGCTAATCCTATATTTCACAGGAACCTGAGGCCTATAATTCATGAAAGATCCGCAAGTTTGCGTATCCGTAGTGTATTTGGGACCCATTGCGTGTGTCTTACAAGGCTTGGATTTTCTGAAACCTAGGATTCTGATACAGGTTTTTGCAAAAAAGTTAGTGGCTAATTCTGCTTATATCATGTGAAATCATGGAAAAACAAAAACATATCGAAATCGTTTGCGCCATTTTGTTACGAAAACGGATCCGTTGACGTAACTCGCTTTATGAGTTCCTCCACCATGTAGAGACTAGTAAAAAATATGGTTTCCAGAAACATCTGCTTTAATCTAAAGAAGTGCTATTCAAAATGGTTGATATAGATCTACTAAATTATATTCAATTCCTTATGTCACTCAACTTTTTTATGATTTTAAAGTCATGTCTGCACAACACAGTTCAAAATTTACTTCTGTAGTAATTTGATTCTAACATGTTCTAATTTGCCTCACTGACCTTTCATTGTTTCTCAAAATATGTTCTCTCAAAATCAGGAAATTAGGGTGATGATGAGCAAATATCTCCTGCAAATTTTTCATTTTAGGTTGGCAGGTCTGATTCACCAAATCATTGATCCTATGCTATGGTTTGGAGCCATCTATAGTCAGGATATAACTACCTGAATGAACGTGAAACATGTACTTGTATTTCAGATAAAAAACTCTTCACCCCTGGCCCATTATGTGTTTCTATGACAACCAAACAGGCAATGTTACGGGATCTAGGTTCAAGGGACACAGAATTTGTAGATACTGTAAAATACATCCGAAGCCAACTTGAAAATATCTCAGGTAACTAATCACTAGATATGCACATTTCACATTTATCTTTTTATTTGAAAGAAATTGCATGGATTTAGCAGCTGTTTTCAGATTTCATGAAATTTTGCAAAATGATTTGTTTTGCAGCAATCAAAGAGTTATTTAATGTTATTTTGATGATTCTAATTAAAACTAACATACCTACATGTAGAAGACTCCAATACGCGATAAAGTTTAGTTTAGTTCAGTTTAGTTACCTCCCTTTTGAAGAGCTCTCATGTATACTTCATCTACATCCAGGTTCTTTCCCATTGGATTACACAGGGGTGCGATTTTCAATGCCGCACTGCAGCTTTATTAAACATTTATGTGGAGTTGCATTTGTACAAACGATAGATATGTATGTAATTAAGATATACAACAAGGCTTTTTTAACAATAATCGCCAAACCCGAAGAAATCTGTAGTTGAAAATGCCGTCCAGTTCCAGTGAAGTCACTGATTTCCCAGACATTGCTCAGACGCCATTGAAGATAGAAAACAAAATGAATCTCCGATTTTCTCTCTGATTATGGAATAGATTGGATCATATAACTATACTTGACGGATGATGGAAGATCGGAAGCTGAGAAACTGTCAGTTTGTCAAGATTCACGCTAGTTTTATCAGAGTTTGTTGAAATTTTGTTCGAGTAATCGTCTGCCATTTTGTTGCTATCATACACTATGATGTAATCGTTGACCAATGAAATTAGCGGATCGTGATCCTTTGACTTTGCAATCTCCGGACTTTTCTTTCAGAGTAATCAACTCGTTCGGCAAGCCAATGAAAATTTGTCCCTTCCAAAGTGATGCATCATGGGAGATATTTATGTAAATTACCACCTGACCTCTTATCGCAAATTGGAGTATTCTCAAATACAGTTTGTAAATGTAATTATCCCAATGAACGAACAAAGTTTGGTAGGGATATAGTGAAGCCATCCATCAATCAGTCAGTCAGTTTGTCCGTCTACCATTGTTATTAATGCATATTTCAAAGCAGCAGGTGAAGTCTTTAGGTGGGAAATAGGTATTCCTATGAGGACAGACCAGCTCCATTTATGGCTAACATGTATTTATATTATTATGAATTTTATTGGATTGATACTTTGACAACAACTTAATAGAATGATGCCTTGAAATATAACAAGTCATTTAGATTTATTGATGACTTATATGCTATTAACAATGATGGCATGATCTGAAAGTATTGGAAAGAAATATACTCTAAAGAGCAGTGCTTAAAAAAGAAAATGTGTCTGATGTTTCTTCTTTATGCACTACAAAACTTTTGATAAAAGAGATCGAGACAAATTCAACTTCAAAATTGTCTCTTATCCAGATAATATTCCTTCAAAAAAAGTGTATGGTGTATTGCACAAATTATAAGAATTTCTAGAGCTTGTTCTAATGTAGCAGATACAAATGACCGGATATCTATTTTAGCAAGCAAATTAATGTTGATGAATCTAAACTTAAAAACTGTGGAGAGTGCTAAATAAACATGAATTGTTATATAGTTTAGTTTAGTTTTATTGTTATTTACAGTGGTAGGTTCAATACAATGCAATACAATACAATACAAAAGAAAAGTAATAAAAAGCAACCCAGACCACTTGGGCTTATCAACCACTAATGTTAAAAATTACAATTAGATTCATAACAAACAATTTTAAAAATACTAGCATGAATTTCTTAGACACATACATGCAGTTAAATTCAATTTACATTATAAATGGCATTTCTTCTTTTAAAATAACAAAGTTTAACAAAAGGAGCAGCTTGCCTAGGCATTTTTTATTATATAACAAATATAATTGAACTAAATGTTTAACTTCTTCAGTCATAAGACAAAGGTTTCGGAGAATTGACAGATGGAATAAACTACTGGTTAAATAATCAAGCTTAAAAAGTTATAAATAAAAACCTATAAAATTGTTATTTAGTTAATTTTTAATTATTATTTAGTTTATCCGAAATTGTTCATTGGTTAGGTGTACAGGGCTGTCAACTTGGGACCACCTAATATGAGTGACTTAAAAATGTTGGACACCTAAGTCCAAATCTGAACACTTTTGTCCAAATTTTGAACACCTTTGGCCAACTTTTAAACACCTTTGGCCAAAGTTTGAGCACCTTTGCCAAACTTTGAACACCTCAAATTTTTCGCGCTCGCTACGCTCGTGATGTCGTCAACGGGGGGGTAGGTACGAAAAATTTCCAATGAACATGCGTGACAAATACGGGATTCGCGTGACAAATCCGAACAAATTGCGTTCGGTTTTTCCCGGCGTTTGTATTTTTACCGTATCGTCAACATATTTCGAAAAAAATTTCTACAGAAATATTTTTGCTTGACAATTACCAGGTAAAATGCGTATTTTGCGTGACATTTTCTGTCACGCAAAAAAAACTGGCGTGACTTCAAATTCTTCAGCAAATGCGTGACAAATACGCAATTTGCGGGACAGTTGACAGGCCTGGGTGTATGATTAAATAGATTAAAATTCCTCAATTCACTAACCTTTTATAGCATTACTATCTAGCTTTCGACAACACCTGTTGCCTTTCTCAAGATGTCTGAATTTGGCGGGAAACTGGTAGATTTGACCTTGACTTGATCTTTGACCTAGCAACCTCAAGTAGACTCGGGGAAACCTTATATCCTAAGTCTCTGTTAAGTTCAGGTTTATATTTATGAATATGTATCGCTTCCTTTATCTTTCTATCAAAGTATTTAGACTCTGAGTCAATAATTCTATAATCCCAGTTTATCTTATGCGCTTCATCAAATGAATGTTGAGCGATTGCTGACTTGTCTGGGTTAATTCTTAAGGCGTCTCTGTGTTCTTTTATTCTAGTTCCTATGGCTCTCCCTGTCTCTCCTATATACTTCTTATCACAATCTGAGCACTGGATTTCATATATGACTCCGGACTTAAGGTCCTTGGGAGTGGGGTCTTTGGGTGCAACTAACGCTTGTTTGATAGTTTTCACTGATTTGAAACAAGTCTTAACTCCAATGTCTTGAAAAACACGTTGAAGTTTGGGAGCGATCGAACTCACATAGGGAAGAACTACCTTAATATCCCTATCTTCACTGTCTCTAGCAGGATCCTGTTGCCTAACTGTGTAATTCTGAGCTTGGTTTAACATCCAAGATGGATAACCACACCGGGCTAATGCTTTATTAATATGGGTTTTCTCTGCTTCTAGCTCTGCGGGATTTGTAATAATTTCATTGGCTCTCTTGTGTAAAGTCTTAACGATTCCTTTCTTTGTTGAAAGTGGGTGATGTGAATCAAATTTTAAGTATAAATTCTATGGACTACCCAAGATACATAAGGTAACAGTTCCACTCAGACCTATAGTTTCTTCGATAGGCTCTGTTACATACAACGTGGCTGATAATGCTGATGCCCAGCCACAAGCACATGTGCACTTGTTTACTGTATTCTTTGTATAAATATATAAATAAATAAAAAAACAAAAAACAAAAAAAACATACAATCTATCCAGATTTTTAGCTGACATCCTTCAACCCATCGTAGGCAAGACAGCGCATCACGTTAATAACACTAATGACTTTGTAAAACAAGTGAAGGATCTCAGATTAAGCGAGGTGGAGACCATAGTTAGTTACGATGTTACAGCGTTGTTTACAAGTGTTCCAACACAGACAGTTGTGCCCATCATAGTGAGTAATCTCAAGAAAGACAATAAGTTAGCAGATAGGACTAAATTAACGCCAGAACACATAGGTGATTTGTTAGCTAGAACTTTAAATACAACATATTTCACGTTCAAAAACGAAATATATAGTCAGTGCCATGGAGCAGCTATGGGATCACCAGTGTCTCCAATAATTGCCAACTTATATATGGAACATTTAGAACAGAAGATTTTAAGTTCAGCACCGCACCCACCACGCATTTGGAAGAGATACGTGGATGACACTTGGGTAGTTATACAGGAAGAGTTCGTCCAAGAGTTCACAGACTTTATCAATTCAGTAGACTCAGATATAAAATTCACAACTGAAGCTTTAAAAGATAGGAAGTTGCCATTTTTAGATACAGTCACTGAAATTCAGGAGGATAGATCTTTGTCCATTAGTGTGTATAGAAAACCCACACACACTGATTTATACTTAAAATTTGATTCACATCACCCACTTTCAACAAAGAAAGGAATCGTTAAGACTTTACACAAGAGAGCCAATGAAATTATTACAAATCCCGCAGAGCTAGAAGCAGAGAAAACCCATATTAATAAAGCATTAGCCCGGTGTGGTTATCTATCTTGGATGTTAAACCAAGCTCAGAATCACACAGTTAGGCAACAGGATCCTGCTAGAGACAGTGAAGATAGGGATATTAAGGTAGTTCTTCCCTATGTGAGTTCGATCGCTCCCAAACTTCAACGTGTTTTTCAAGACATTGGAGTTAAGACTTGTTTCAAATCAGTGAAAACTATCAAACAAGCGTTAGTTGCACCCAAAGACCCCACTCCCAAGGACCTTAAGTCCGGAGTCATATATGAAATCCAGTGCTCAGATTGTGATAAGAAGTATATAGGAGAGACAGGGAGAGCCATAGGAACTAGAATAAAAGAACACAGAGACGCCTTAAGAATTAACCCAGACAAGTCAGCAATCGCTCAACATTCATTTGATGAAGCGCATAAGATAAACTGGGATTATAGAATTATTGACTCAGAGTCTAAATACTTTGATAGAAAGATAAAGGAAGCGATACATATTCATAAATATAAACCTGAACTTAACAGAGACTTAGGATATAAGGTTTCCCCGAGTCTACTTGAGGTTGCTAGGTCAAAGATCAAGTCAAGGTCAAATCTACCAGTTTCCCGCCAAATTCAGACATCTTGAGAAAGGCAACAGGTGTTGTCGAAAGCTAGATAGTAATGCTATAAAAGGTTAGTGAATTGAGGAATTTTAATCTATTTATTATTTAGTTAGTTTATAGTT